GGAAGGCTGAGGCGGAAGGATTGCCAGAGCCCAGCAGGTCGAGGCTGCGGTGGCCGGGAGCGACCACTGCACTCCAGTCTGGGCGACAGTGAAACTCCAACTCACTGGGCAGGGATGGCAGCTCATGCCTGTAATCCCAGCACTTTGAGAGGCCAAGGTGAGACCATTACTTGAGTACAGAGTTTAAGACCAGCCTGAGTAACATAGCAAGACCTCAAAATATGAGCCGGGCATGGTGGGGCATACCTGTAGTCCCAGCTACTCAAGAGGCTGAGGTGGAAGGATCGCCTGAGCCCAGCAGGTGGAGGCTATGGTGAACCACGATCATGCCCACTGCACTCCAGCTTGGGCGACAAAGACTCCAACTCAAAGGAAAAAAATCTTTTACAGGTTCGCATATTTGAATCAAGATCTAAACCTGCCCACACATCACATTTTGGTGCAGTCTCTCAAATCCCTCATAATCTCTAACAGTGCTTCTCCGTTTTTTTATGCCACTTTACTTGCTGTAGAAACCAGGTACTTTGTCCTACAGAACTTTCCCCACTGTTGATGTGGTGAAACCCTCATGGTGTCTTGTAATGTGCTGCCCTGTCCTCCAGTTTCCTGGAAACTGGTGTCTGGGTCCCGAGGGGTGACCTAATATAGGGCCAATTATTTCAGCAAGAGATTCCCTGGGCAGCTATGCCTTTCCCCTGTCGCATCATACCCAGAGCACAGAAGGTTGGGTTTCCCCTTTGGGGGTAATACCGGAAGGATCAGTGGGTTCTGGTGTCTCCAGCCTGGTCCCTCTGTTATAAAGCCCCACCACCTTGCCCCCTGCTGTTTCAATGCCTTTCCTAGAATCTTAAAACATTTCCAGAGCCAGGAGAGATCTGAGAGCCCATTCACTCATTTTCTATCCATCCCTCAAATATTCCTTGAGCCTCTGCTGTGCCAGGTCATGAGCTGCCATGAACGAAACCGACAGTTGTTGGGGAGGCAACACACACAGGCTGAGAGGCGAGGGGTATGTGGAGAGTTACACGGGGGAAGTAATAGACAGCCACCAGGGGCTACTGTGTGATGGGGGACCACCGAAAGACAAAATGCTGGAACTTGGCGAGCCAGCCGTGTAGGGATGGGAGAGGCATCCCAGGGAGAGGGAGGAGCCGAGGCCAGCAGAGAACCTGGCACCTTAAGGGAGGCAAGAAGGCCACTGTGCCCACAGCCAGAGAGCAACAGAGAGGGAGTCTATGCTAACAGACTTGGCACCCCTGCGTCCCCCATTACAGCCAGAACATGAGCTCAGAGAGGGCGGGGAGGTGCTATTTATTAAGCAACAACCCATGTCAGGAGCTTTCTGGGCAGCATCTCAAAGTCCCACGGCATGCTACATAAGGCGTCTTGTGCCCATTTTCCAGACGAGGCAGTGAAGTCTCCTGCCTAGGAGCGTAAGGCTAGTGGTATGCAGGAGGGTGGAGCCCAGGTCTGATGAGGCTGTCTGCTACCTCAAAGTCAGCCCACGGTGAGATGACCACTGCAGAGCTGCCTAAACCCAGATGGCAGCTGTGACCTGGGCCAAGTGCCCTCTCCCCTTCTGTGCCTCCGTTTTCTAATCTGTAAAATGGGAATAGTAATAGCACCTATTTCAATGAGGTGAGGATGAAATGAGATAACGCATGAGAAGTACTTAGAACAGCGCCTGACACCCAGTGCCACTTGACGACATACACTTATGTTTCTGCTTCTATGGGCATGTGTACCTACAGCAGGGCAGGGCTGGCATCACAGGTCACCAGCCTCCAGTCCAGGGCCCATCTCGGTCATCAACTACACGGGCCTGGTTCACAGAAGGTGCAGGTGCGTGTGGTGTGCTGCTGGGAGGAGAGAAAGCTGACCTCAGCCCCGCCCCGGCTTGCTGGGGGTGGGGGCTGGTGGGAGAAACCTCAGCCCCCTGTAGAATGTCTCCAGGCTCCTGCATTTCCTGTCCCTAGCCAGGGCTCCCACGCTGCCGTCCCTCTCTGTCCCCCTCATCACGGAGCCCCCCTCAGCTGCCCAGCCCAAGGGTCAGTGGCTGTCCACAACTCTCCTCTGACCCTACTCATGGGCACCCTAAGACGGATAGGGAGGGCTAACGATGAGAAGGCTGGGAGGCAGATACATTCCCAAGGGGCACCCAAGGCCCAGACAAGGCGGTCCAGCCTTGCCCCCTCCCAGGCCCTGCCCCCGGGCCCAGATGGGTCACCTCAGCACAGGGCACTGGGAACTTCACGCCCTCCCTGCAGACACCCGAAGAGTTAAGCCCAGACTCCCTCCTTCCTCATCCCAATTCTGATCCTTGCTGACTCTGCTCCCCGCCCCACCCGACCCACCCCCAGCTATTCTGGGACAATGGAGGCAGCAGATGGCCCGAGTCCTGTTCCCTCCACCCGACCCTCGGGATCTGGGAACAACCCGAAAATCTGCTGCTGCTTCTAAAAGCAGGCCGACCATCAGCCTTCCTGGGTGGGTGGCGGGAGAGACGGCGGCTATGGATGGCACCACTCCACCCCCCACCGGGTGGCGGGGCGCCCTTGCCCTCGTCAGCTGGCCTCCCACAATCCCAGCATTGGGTCTGCCCAGAAAGAAAGCAGGCTTGGAGGAGCGCAAGCACCTGGCTCTGCCTGACTCGCTGTGTGACCTCAAGCACATGGCCGTCCCTCTCTGGGCCTCTCCTTCTTGGAAAACAAGGGGCTGCACCCAGGCACTCAGAGGCTCTGGACAGCCCAGACATAGATGTGGCGGGTGCGGTTTCTGGCCCTTGGAGGGTGGAGGCTGTGCTTCCTAAGACCCAGTCCTGGCTGCCTGGGTCGGGGCCCCTCTAGCCCTCAGCTCTCCCTCCCCCCCCAAGCCCCTCCATGACCCCAGCTCCCAGCATCACCGGGCAAGGCACAGGGTAGGGAGAAGAGACCTCCCTGTCTAGCCCTCCCCCACCTCTGTGCCACCCTGGCCCATAGTCCACCATGATCATTCATTCATTAATCCCGCCTCCTTAGGATCTGAAGTTCAAGGGCACTGCATTTATTCAGGGCCTGCCTTGGCTGTCCAGTTGCCCCTTGGTACCTTAACCTGACTCAGGCTGAACCCATCAGGTCTGAGTCTCCATTCTGCCTTCCCTCATTCTTCCCAGCATGCACCTCATGGC